TTATAAATACCAAGAAGAATACTGATAATTGGGTTCGAGTTTTAAAAGAGTATCGATCTTCAGCTAATTTGGATTATAACATAACTACGATTCTTGATACGATGCAATTAGAACAAGAATTGATCCAGTTTTTTTTGGGTTTATGTTGCAAGGATAAAGAACCTTATTCTCCAAAATCTATTTATAATTGTTATTATGTAATTGTTCGTTATTTGAAAGACAATTCATTAATGCATCCATGTTCTAACTTGTTTGATGAAACTTGTTATGGTAAATTAATAAAATCATTAGATAGTAAAATCAAAAAGACTCAAGATCTTAATTCTCGATCTGCTGATAAATCTGATTCACTTTCATTTGAAGAAGTTCGTCATATTTTAAATCATGATGAATTGCGTGATGATTCTCCTCAAGCTTTAACTAAAAGAGTTTACTTTTGGCTTTGCTTACTCTGTGGATTTCGTGGTGGTGATGCACAATGACTTAAAATAATGCATGTTATTGTTACAAAGTATCAGGATTACAAGTAATTATTCCACGAGAAAAAAATAATGCCAGGGGCATTAAAAATCTTGATAATGCAGGACGTAAATGTGAAATTCCACCTGATTAAGATAGCAAATTTACTCCTGTCACAGATATTCTTTATTATATTAATAAACGTCTTTCTGGTTTTATTACACAAGAATTTTTTTTATGAATAGCTTGCAAAAAAGGTATTTTAATTGTATTGTTATTTTTGTTAACTATAAAATTATACTATTAAATTTTAATTTATTTAGACAATTTGTGTGGTATTTGGTTTGTTGATAATTCTCTTGGACGGCACTCTCATAAAAATATGAATCGTGAAATTTGTAAAGTCACAGGAATATCAATACACTTAAGGAAAATCACAAACTATTCATTACGCCGTACTGCTATTCAGATCCTTACCGAATTAAATGTTGCTACCAATCATATAATGCCTTTTTCAGGACATCGTACTCTTAATAGTGTAATATCTTACCAAACTTTTACGCCACAAGTAATGCATAATACGGTGTCTTTAATTATTCCAGATTGCAATTCTTCTGAATTCAACAATAATGATAAGAAAGAAGATCACAATAAAGAATATTCTGGTAATCAGAAAGAAAACCATGATAAAGATTATGGTAATAAGGAAGAAATTCACGATGATGGCAATAAAAATGAGGATGCAAATAAAAAAAGTAAGATTTTTTTTTTTTTAATAAAATAAATTAAGAAATTGAGATTTTTTTTTTTTAAATATAAAAAGAATTCCCTTAGCTCCATTACCATCAAATGTAGAATCGAATTCTCATAATTCTAGAAAAAAGTGCAAGGTTCTCAAAACTTCACACGACTGGTCTAAACCTTTTAAAATTCCATATCACACTTCCTCAAAACAAACAAGCCCTGCATTACAAGAAAGTAATAATAAAGATTGTAACAAGCCTTTAAATAATAGTGTAATGCCCCAAATTAATATTAATAACTGTAAAAATATTAGTGTTGATATCACGATTAAACATTCTTAAATATATTTTTAAGATTTTATAATAAAATGTGATATTAATTTTATTGAGCGATTTGCTTAACTTAATACTGTCAATCTAAATAGTATTCTTTTTTCATCTAAGAGAATTTAAAGTACACCCAGAGAAATAACAAGTATTGCCAGGGAAATAACAAGCATTGCTAGGGAAATAACATGGGTTACTAGAAAATTGGTTTTCTTTACTGATTAAACTAGTGATTATAAGTCGTAAAACCCCGTCATGCGGTCATATAGAAACATGGAATAACAATAATTTACGTACGTACGTACATACGTATAGGGTGTTCGATGTACTATGTAAATCAAATCAATTATTAAATATTTTTTATGTAACATACATATAAAATACTGCAGAAAAAGTTATTTCGACAAAAGTTCAAGTCTTTTTATTGGCTTTTTTTTTGTTATGAAAAAAGCTCTTTATTACATTAAAATATACTATTCATTGAACTTTCATGTGAAATTTCTAAACAGATTATTATGCAAAATATCAAGAAGATACAAATTGAAATATATAAGAAATTGGCATATTTCAAACTGTATCTTTTCGATAGTCTACATAATAATCTATTTACAAATTTCACTTGAGAGTTCAGTGAATAGTGTATTTTAATATAATGTAGAGTTTTTTTTCATAAACTAAAAAATAACGAATGATCACATTCACGTTAATAATAAAAATACTGTGGCAATAGCTAAAAATTTAAGTCTTTTGATTAGTTTTTTTGATATAAAAAAAAACTCTACATTTCATTAAAATACACTATTCACTGAACTCTCACGCAAAATTTCTAAATAGATTAATATGTAAACTATCAAGGAGATACAATTTGAAATATGCTGATTTCTTATATATTTCAATTTGTATCTTCTTGATATTCTACATAATAATCTGTTTAGAAATTTCACATGGAAGTTCAGTGAATAGTATATTTTATTGTAATAAAGAGCTTTTTTCACAACAAAAAAAGCCAATAAAAAGACTTAAACTTTTGTTGAAATAACTTTTTTTGCAGTATTTTACATGTATGTTTTACAAAAAATATTTGTTAATTGATTTTTATATAGGATTTACATAGTACATCGAACACCCCAATATACATACGTATATACATACAATGTTTCACAACATTTACTTTGGTTATATATCAGAAGTACAATATATTTGCATGTCATTGTGAAATTATACATAGCAGTCTCATAATGATATACGCTAAAATTTCATTGGCCAAAATAAACCGCAGATCGTAAATGCGTTTTTTGATCAAAAAAATTAGCTTTTGACATTAGGATAAGGGTGAGCATTAGGACGATAGTAAAAAAGATGAAGTATATAGCAAAATTTTGCAAGGAATTTTTTTTGCTAAGATGCAGAAAGCAGTTTTGTAGTCGAAATTTTGAGTTATAGATGATTTTTTTAAAAAGCCAGCAGTTTGTTTTGTTTTTTACATTACACCTGATCTTGTATCGTAATTGGTTTAAAATCACGTATTTGCAGAAATTTTATAACTACTCCAAGAACACTACCAAAAATTTTTCAGAACGTGACCAAAAGCCAATCACGGTTAAAGATTAGGTGTAATGTAATACTAATGTTACATGATCAGAAAAATTAAAAACAAACTTTTTTTTTGCTAAAACTTGCCTATACTCAAAAATCTGCATAAAAAACCATCTTTAGTGCACTAATAAAAAGTTTCCTTGAGCAATTTTACTATATATTTTGTTAATATCAAACTCAAGTACAAATGCTAACCTTAATATTAACAAACTTTTAAAAATTTGTTATCGAAAATTTTTTGGTGGTGCTCTTGAGGTAGTTACATTTTATGCAGTTGCTATGTATAATCATTGTGAAAGTGTAATAGTATATGGGGCAAGATTTTGTAGATCAATTAGATAAATCTAGCAGATTACAGTTTTTAGACTTTAAATAACATTATAGTAATGTAACTTTTTTAAATTATTATATGTAGACAACTAGTTTAAATCTTTGAGATTCTATTGTTTTATTTATTTTTTTTTTAATAAAAAAAAAAGATATTTACTAGCATCGCCAGATTCTGAAAGAAATACTACCTTATATTTTACTATTTAATCTAATATCGTAAGTGACATTTATCTGCTCGATCATATTTATGCTTATATTTGAGTCTCACTTGAATACAACTCACTATTCAGCTTACAAAAAATCAGATCTAGCATAACATAGTAGAGAAATCAAAGAACTAAGTATTTTATAATTTAATCTAAATTGTTCATTAATAAGTCAAGTTTGTAAAATTTACTATATTCTTAAATCTTTTTACTTTTGTTAAGTTAGCGCATAAATATGAAAAATAGTGATTTATACTTATTCAATTGTAGATAAGTATCGAAATTATCTGTTTCTATTTAAAATCAGAAAGTATTCAAACTATATATTTAATAAATGAAGTCTAGTAATTTACATATTGACAAAAATTAGAACTGGTTTCATTATCTAAAATTCAAATAGAATTTTTATTTATATGTTTTATATTTGTAACGAGGTAATCTCTTGACAAAAGTACTATAAGGGACATAACAAAAATTAGGTAATTTTTTAGGGGCTAAAAAATTTAAAATTATATATAAAGATCTGATCAAGTTATATAGTAAGAGGGGATAAGCCTCTAATAAAAAAAATCAGGTGATAAATAACACTGCTCTAATGAGTAAAAAAAACATAATATTCATATAGTTACTGTGTAAGTATAAAATAATGCTTGTGTGCATTATTTAAAATTGGGTTCTTCAAAAGTACAGTCAACTCTGGATATAACAAACCTTTTTATAACGAATTCTGGATATAACAAACTTCAAAATTTTGAAATTTTATAATAGTTCAGTATAAAAAGTGGTATAGATGCTTAAGAAAACATAGTAATTTCTTTATAATAAATTTTTTTCTTTCAAAATCTCCAGTTTGTTATAGAAAGAGTTAACTGTAGTCTTAAATTAGCATCTATAGTTATTCTAAAATAAAACATATCCTAATATCTGAATGTAATTTATTGTTAGACAAATAACTTATAGTCAATTCTTTTTAAGTATACTCTCTATAAGTGAATTTTATATTTGCTTTTTTCTAGAAGTAATTAGTCTAATGTAATTATGTAACTTTATATATAGATTATTTTTAATAATTACACACTTTGCAAGTATATTTTTTTAACAATATGCATTTAAAAAAAAATTGATTATATTGAATTTTTCTTATTTCGAAATAATGTGTATAAACTTAACTGAAATAATATACAAGTAAATATTATTTAGTGTTTATATAGTATAATGACTTATAGGTGTAGTTTTTATTATATGAAAAGAATTAGAATAAGTATTATTTGGAAATAGACAAATAAAAAAATCGAATTAGTTTATTTAACTAAGTAAAATAACAAAACTTTAAATATTTTTTGAATATTGCAAATAGTACTATTTAGTATCACAACTTATGATTATTTTATTAGATATACAACTATAATTTGTAACAAATTTAAATTAAAATTGAGAAAAGCTACCATTTTAATGAAGATATTATATCTCAAATAGTTTTATTACAGCAACTTAAGACTTTTTACTTTGTGCTAATGTTAAGAAGTACTTTTATTCAAAACTTTTAAAGCTATATGTTCTCGATATTTAGCCATAGTTTCATTATCCAATTTTGGATAGTAATAAGTTTAGGAACTTTTTCATCAGAAATTTCACCTTCTTTAGCACATTTTAATAATTCTTTGTACATGTCTTGAGTGCTATAATAATTACTTTTGTTTGCATTTTCTGCTATAAAAAATTCTTCTAACAAAGCTCTTACTTTTTTTGACATTTGTTTTCCAGTACTCTTTTTACCAAATTTTTGGTTTTCTTTTAGAGTCTAACCAGAATGCAAGAAAAATATATTATCGGTATTTCTAAAGATTTTTTATTAGTTTTTAGTATTATTTCAAAAAAAAAACATTATTATTTACCATTGTTGAGTTTTATTATCTGCTTTATCTATAAGTACTTCGACTAATACTTCATTATCAAGAAATACTATATCACTCTTCCCAACGATCTTCTGGACAACACAACAAAAAACTGAACTACAGAAAAATGCTATAGAAAGTTCCAAGATAAATACTATTTTGGTTCTGTCTTTGAGTAAACAGT